TCTTCAGGGGTAGTGATGTTGTTAATATGATCCGATGTCAACAACTCGCCGAGTCTGAGTCAACAAGTATAAGAAAAAAGTTTATATAAGATCGTAATTTTACACTATTGAAGTAAGGTGTAACTCAAAATCCTAACTTACCGCTTAGATCCACTGTCATAAAAAAAATAAGAGAATGGAAATCTATAACTTGCCTAAATATAAACATAGTTTTCCCATCCGTTTAGTGATATCACAAACTTTGTAGGAAATTGCCTAAGAAAAAAAGTTTATGTAAGGTTGTCATCTTATCCTATTGAAGTAAGGTACACCTCAAAATTCCTCTAGAAAAGAATATTTAGACATTGAAGAACCCTCCAACTGATCATCTCAATCTCGAGATGTGTCGATATTTAGAAAAAAAAAGGAATTTCAAGTCTTTTAAATAGTGCATTTTGTAACAAGCTATCTCGACCATTGATTTTCAAGATTTTATGAATCCGCTCGATCTATAGTATTTTCAAAATTTTAAATTTCATGACGAGGGATAAAAACATATTTTCAAGACATCATAAAGTTTCCAACACCGGAACTATATCTCCAAACAAATTTTAGATGTGTTCCTTACTCCTAGAGTATAAAGAGGATACCTTATACATACCACACACTTTACCTAAAGATAGGGGTGGCGATGGGCTGGGCTGCCCTTGGCCCTAGTCCCTAAGGGGCCAGCCCTATCGTAACCTGACCCTCACCCGGCTTGGGCCTTTCCTTGGTCCCTGACAAACCGTGTTGGATGAATGTGGCCATTGAAGGCCTTATGAGTGCTTGTAAAATGAAATGATATAGTGGAATATGAATTCAATGGGAGTGTGGTCCCTCGTGGACCATACTAAGTCAACGATGTTTGCTAATACTGATCTGTGTTTGACAGTCTAGGTTAGTCGGTTGGAAAAAACCTATGTTACCTGGGCATAGAAAACTAACCAATAAGGGTTTTAATGGGTCATCCCTTGATGAGGTTGGAGTATGCCCGGATGAGTAAGTCGAGAGATTGTGTGACCCTTGTGTGTGATGGTGGCCTTCAGATATGGGGGCTAAAGCCTCACCCATGTACCATCACACGGCATGCATATTGATAGATCATTTCTGGAAACCTAACCACCTTTCAGGGTAAAGATTATACATGTGCGAGAGATACCCCTATGCATCATAGGAGCGGTGGTCGCATCAGGTCTAGGTGACCTTGGCACGTCTCTAGGGGAGAATCTGAAATCCACAGACTGAGATTGCGACCCCTTGGCTCATCGGTCAGACTTTGGTGACGCACTAATGAGCTCCTGTATGGACTATGGGTCATGGGAAATACTAGGTCGGTTGATAAAGCAAGTGTGGACTGTAGTCTACAGTTGAAGGTGGAGTGCCCCATATTATTTATTCCTAGACCATATGGATCCTTATCACATCTAATGAATTTAATTGTATTTATTTTATGATTATATGATTTTAGAATTATTATTTGAATTTTTCTAGATCTTTGGATATTTTATTTATAAAATTTAGATTTATAAAAACAAAGATATTGATTTTGAATGTTTTAAATATTTAAATTGATTTTAAAATCATTTATTAATTTTTAAATATTTAAAAATAGTATTAGGGGCCCATTGTGGATATGGGCCCACCATGCCCTAAATTGGCAAGCGCAACAAAGCCATCGCATGAGTGACATGCCCCAATTTTTAGGGCTTCCTATTCCTATGGATGGCACGCTCCTTTAGGGGGTTTCCTATATTTTATGGGATAAGTGGTTAAAGAAGATTTGAGTGAATCTTCTAAAAGGCTTGTGCATATATTTGGATAAAACACAGCATTATGATTAGCATTATTTATTTGATTTATATTGATGGGATAATGGTTAAAGAAAAGATGGGGATAAAGGTTGTAACACCTTCTATAATGTTAAATGCTTGATGGTCCATTTATGGAATGGATGACTCAAATCTCTCACCCCACAAGTCACCCAAGATTAATGATTCATATTCAATCTCACAGAAAGAGACAAACCAAGGAAAACCCTAAAAAACCCTAATATTGTTTAAAACCTATAAAAATGGATTGTATTTATCCAAATTTTCTATACCTTATCTATCTATCTCTCTCCTAAGGAAGTTTCTCTCTCTCATGAAAGCTTAAAGGGGACACGCCCCACTCTCTCATCTTTGATCTCTCTTTCCAACATTGTGAAAGAACCTAAGGGTTTTAGGCTACGAAGTTCTTCTTACTCCTATTTCTCAAATATGGATTTATGGCTAAGGGTTTTACAGTATAGCAAAAAGAGAATTTATCTCTCTCAAACTAGATTGCTAAG